AATCTTAAGATTCGGCCTGGACGATCTGTCCAAAATTTAGAACCCTATTAGGGCATCCTCATTAAGGCAGCGTACAGATCGGCCTGGACGATACTTGTATCCTAGCAGAAGGACGATATCTCCAATTCCGAGAAAGAAATTCACGCATAATTCAGTTAGGATAGTCTTTGTTTTAGGAATCAGCCCGGACGACTATTATTAAATCGTCCAGGAAGGATCTAACTCAATCAGCCTACATGAATCTGGTATCTTTTGAGGGCTAATTAAATGTTAGATTGGATCATGTATCACATCGTCCCGGGACGATTGCGATGATTCGGACCAGAACGAGTGTCCTGGACGATCATATATTCGGCCGACTATGCCACTCAAAAACAGGGCGATGATCAGGATGAATTGAAATCGGTTAAATACTAAATCAGCCAGCCGACTATGACTCGATATAGAACGGCCAAGAACGATGTAAAACAATTTCTTCTGATCGTCCACATATCATCCCGGTAGCCTAATGAGCTTAAATTTGTACTGAATCGGCCAGGGAGCGGCACTACATATAACCTATCTTGTCCTGGTAGCGGATAATGGCGGGCAACTTGCATTAACTGAGCTCGTTTTAGAGAGCCATCTATGATTAAGCTAATGGCGAAGGTTGGCGACATTTGTAAAGTGTCTTTAGAGCAACGCTCACTCTGTAGCTTCGTTCTTGTGGGGGCGAAACTAGAAGAGGAGCAGCTTTGGAACAGGGAAGAGGAAGGAACGGGGTGGAGTTTAAGAGTCAGTGCAGAGAAGATTCTCCTCGTGATGGCGGTGTGACGGATCAAGGGTATGTGTGGAGGGTGTGGTTCACACGGTTTCTCCGTGCACGAGAAAATACTCGGGCCTACTACTTTAAGTGTAAGACCAATCGGAGTTCAAGCGCTTGTCTCGAAGGGTAAGTTCAGCAAAGAGAAACGAACAGATCTCTCCTTGGTCAAAGACCCTCGGCGACTCCGCCGCACCGGGGAGGTGGAAGTGATTTTATAAGGGCTTTCTCCGCCTAGCCGTGGGAGCTAAAGTGTAGAGACAGCTAGTTTAGTTGCCAATACTTGGGGGGTGCCTTCAAGGAGTGGACTAGGGTCAAGACTATTGGAAACCGAACCACTATAAATCCGGTGTGTTCTCTGGTATTTACTATTTTCTGCGTTGTAATATTCCGCACTTTTGATTGTTGGTTGATTTGGATTGTGTTTTGGTTTTAAAGTTTTCCAATTCACCTCTCTTCTTATAAATAGCTTGGATTTAAGTTCAATGTTAGGGATGTACCTCTAACCCATCCCTAATAGAACTTTACGATGATGCCTTGAAGATTAATGACTATTATGTATCTGTACAAATTAGTCGTACCTATATATACAGAGACGAGTGTAGTACTGCGATCATCCCGGGCTATAAATAATCTGTACGAAGAAGCAGACTACTCGCTCCCAGTACATCGTTAACTATTGTGGAATCGCTCCGTATGAACTATATATTTGAGAGCTTTTTTTTGAACTGTATATCGTAAAAACTTTCGTAACCAGGATGAGCCTGTTATTAATAAAATCTACTGTACAGATGTCAAAATCATTACTGTACTAGATCAGGTAACGTTTACTTCAAAAAAATTTAGTGTAGATTTTGGATGGCCTCGTTCTTAAGGAGGGAAACATGATTATGAATGAGAGAATCTTTTGCTGGGAGAGAAGTTCTGCAGAGTGGGTGATATTTTCGGTGGTTTTGTAGAGCAGGAGCTAAGGCAGGGTTGTGAAGACTTGTGTGAAGTCGATGAATTAGTGATGTGAGGTAAGATCCAGCATCAGTTTGCCCTCTTGTATTTCTTGCTGTAATCTTACCCTCCTATGGCCCGAGAAGACTTGTGGAGGCTTTCTGAGGGGGAGACTCATTCTAACTATCCGTACCTCGAAGGTACTCTGCCTTATCAGGAGGGAGAAAAAATGAGGATAGGTATGCTACCGTTGTCAGGAGGGATGAGAAATGTGGCACTCTCCACAGACCCATTGGAGGAATATGTGAACAGTAGTATGGATCTATGTTGACGCGGCTTCTCCTCTTTTACCAGGAGCAAAAGAGAGAACCTATTTGAGTGATAGATGAAAATTTTTAGAGTTGGAGGTATCTCTTGGGGAAGTGGACGTTAGGCTAATGGTTGACCGAAACCACATATTGCACTTAAATCATAATAAACTAGGTTAGAATGCCATATTCTTTCTTAATCGCCTCTTTATTTTCTTCGCATATCGATTATAAATTTTCATTACTATATTATACTTATACCATTGTGTGCGAGTAAAAGTATAATAAGTGAGTCTAAAATAATTTCATCTATCTGTCTCACAATCTTCTAGATTATACAATTAATTGCTTTCGCATTAGTTAAATAGCTTGCTATCATCAAAATCATAAACCATAGATCCTTAACATCATCTAGGATGAAGTCCATGAATATTAAAACTCAGCTCCGTACATCATATGGTACGATATACATCGTACAGTACGATTATGAAAAAATAAGAGATCGTATAGGACAAAGTTTGGGACGATTAAAACTCATCTCTGTTCATCATATAGTACGAACATATTCATACAGTACAAGTAATCAGTGATTAAACCTTGATTTACTCTGCTAATCATGGGTTAATTTAAGTATTCAAAATAAATCATACATTATGAATTACTTCATACAATACGAACGACTAATAGAACTTAAACTAATCTGGCAACTAGTGTTTTGGTTTTGTTACACATTGTACTGTACAATATGGTTCTTACATTACGATTTGTTCATAAAAAATTATTTACAATATTAGATTGTACAGTACGATATAAAGTCGCACAGTATAATCAATAGAGAAAAATCTTCATCATTTTTTTTTCTTTTAAAAACCCTCTCCCCCTGTGTGTGTGCATGATTGCTCAGACTTACATACAGTTTGTGGCCAGACTCAAGAAAAGAGAAAATAAAGATAAATAGAAAATTATATTATTTTAGACTCACACTCTTACTCTACCCAGTCTTGAGTCTTCATGTTGTCCTGAGTAACTTGTGATCTTCCTGAAATGTTAGTACTCACAGACAATAGTAGAAATCAAATGATATTCAATGAATAGAAGTTAAGACGACATTATTTGTCATCATCAAAAGCTCAAATTAGGGGTCATGGATTGCAACATAAAGTTGGGTTTCTTCATGGAAGGATGGCTATTTACAACATTTTATTAGCCTATGAGGTTCTTTCTAAATTTAATGCACCTAAGAAGTTCAAGTTTTTTTTTTTAATGAAACTTTTGATATTGTTTCAAGAAGTTTCCTTCTTCAGAGGTTGTTGGATAAGCGTATTTCTACTCTCTTTCTATCTTGGGTTGAGGCTTGTATATGAGATGCTCATTTCCCCATTTGATTTAATGGGTTTTTGCATGTGTTCTTTAACTCTAGATCTAGGTCAATATAAGGTTGTGCACTTTCAACTTATATTGTATTATTATGAACACTTTCTTTAATTTGCTCTATTTTCCTGACGGTAAAGCAATTTTTTAGAGGTTTTCTATCTCGAGCATTCATATAACACAGTTTCCATGTGTGATGATCTCTTGGTATTTGGGAAAGCAGATATTTCTAATGCTAAGGTGTTTGCTGATAGATTGGATGCTTTTAAGGCTGCTTTTGGATTAAAGGTTAATCAATCCTAAGGCACTATTATCTTTTCTAATGGCACTGCTAATGTTGATGGTATCTATAACATCCTAAACATGTCTTTGGATGAACATTATTTTGAGTATCTAAGGATCCCTATGTCTTTGAGGAGGCTAAAGGTGGCTGATTTTCAAATATTTCTCGATAAGATAACTCAGTTGGATGGGTGGAAAGCTAAGATTTTATTTTTTGGGGTAGACTACAATTTATACATTTTAGCATATGAAACTTTATTGTATATTGGATAAGAGGTGCCACTTTACCTAATTCTTATTGTAAATTTATTAATAAACTTCAGAATAAGTTCCTTCTTTATGGGTACGCCAATGCTAAGAAATTGCTTCTTATATCTTGGAGGAGCACTTTCTTACCAAAGGATTGTGGTGGCCTTGGATTACCATCCATGGCCCTTTCACATGCCAACAATTGATCCTTTATCTGGAGATGTCTTTCAACTGATAGCCTGATTAGCTCTTGGATTAGACATTTCTACTCCTCTTTTTGGAAACCTACACCTAGGAAGGTTTTTGCATTTTGGAAATAAATGATTTTGGCTGCTACAAAAGTCAAATTGAATTATTCCTTAAAAATTATTGAGGGCTATACTCTTTCTTTCATATGGAATCCTTGGTACAATGAGCAAGCTATTTCTGATCTCAATTCACCTTCCTTGCTTATTTTCTTTAGTTTCACTATCTCTATAAATCTTTCTAGCACCTCTTGTTGCTTTCTCCCATCCTTTTCTTAAGTCTTCGAGATGTGTGGTGATTATCATCCCTATCTACTCTTTTTTTTTTTTGAAGAAAGCAAGTAATGCATTAAAATAGAAAAAGCAAAGAAATTACAAGAGTACTCCCAGAGATTCCTCCTTCAAAATTATAAAGAATGAAGAAGGAATCTTATCAAGCACAATGTTATCCCAAATAAAAGAAGAAAAAAGGTGCGAAGTTAACACATAGATCAGCTAACTTATTAGAGTTTCTATCTATACAATTGAAAAGAATTGAATTGAATTCATGAAGAAAAGAGAGATTATTTTGATCACCTTTCTTCATTGTCTGTTGAATGAGCTTCATAATGTTTGCATTATCTCCTTCAATGATGATACCTTTATACTCAAGCATCCAATCTTAAATGATATCCTTGATCATCTCGATTGCTTGAAGCTCCAAATATGCTATATCCCAATGAATGCAAGGCTTTCCAAAAGCTAGAAGAAATCTGGCTTTATGGTCTCGGATAACACCTCAAATACCTCCTTTGTTAGATCTCAACAAAGAGCATCCAAATTAATTTTGATCCAACCGGGTGGAGGAGGATGCCAAATTTTTTCCAACAACATTTGCTGATTAACATCCAACCGGCCCGGGCATAAGAATTTCCATCCTGTAGAAGCTGTAGCAAAACTAATTGCTTCCGAAGCAATAAAAGATGTAGTCCGTTCAGTCTTTCCATGCACACCTTCATTCCATTCTTTCCAGGATAGATATACTGAACTGCAGTAGATGTTAAGTAACAGAGCATTTTGATCAATCAACCACTTGCATCTATATTCCATAGTTTCAAAAAATGGAATATCAAACCCCCATACATTAAGACAATTGAAAACTTCAGTAACTTTTGTACATCTGTTAGTCACATGATTCATATCTTCCGGCTCATTACAACCTCTAGGACAGAGGTTATTTGTTTGCAATTTTCTATTAGAAAGAAGCTGAAAAGTTGGAATTGCATTGTTAAATAATCTCCACCAAAAGTTTTCTACTATAGCATTCAGTTTGGCCTCCTTGATCCAATTCCAGTACAAATGTTTATCACAGTCACCATAATATTCAGCAAATGCCATGGCTGAAATAGTCATTCAAGAGCAGGATTTTATCAACACCATTCGGTCTTCACTGTCTGAAGAATGAATTTGAATATTTCTGATAATCTCCACAAGATCCTTTCCAAAGGTTTTATTCAATTCAGCTAAATTCCAGCAATTATCTGAAATCAGAGAATTGACTCTTATATTTCCTTCAATACTATCATCCAGAGCTACAAACTTTGGCCAATCATTTAAGCTTTTTCTAAAATCCATGTATCCTGGAATAAATCAATTGAGTCACCATTTGTGATTTCCCATCTCACAATCGGTTTGAGGAATTTCCATCCATCCATAATAATTTTCCAAGCAGATGAATTAGATCTTCTACCATTCTTCTTATCACCAAGCAGGCTGTATTTTGGAAAAAGTAATTTATTTAACAGAGAATCTTTATCTATGCTGTATTTCCAAGCCAATTTGGCTCTAAGAGGACCCATCTTCTTAGTGCAGGATTGTAATCCACGTCCCCCATACATCACCGGATCACACAAGGAGTTCCAGCTAACATAATAAAGACCAAGTTCTCCACTGTTTTTGTTCCAGATAAAATTTCTATAGTGATTTTCAATCTCATAAAGTAATCCTTTAGGAATCAAGGAAAGCGTTGAGTAGAATGTTGGATAAGAAAGAAGGACCGTCTTCACAAGCGTAATTCTTCCGGCTAAGGATATAAACTTGCTTCCCCATATGCTCAACATTTTAAGGACTTTATCAATTATGAATTGAAAGTCCAATTTTTTCAATCTTCTCAAAGCTATCTTGATACCAAGATAATTAAATTCCTTAACCACTTTAAAACCCATGATTTTGGAAATTGCTTTTTTTCTTCTCCTCTTAACCAAAGTTCCACACAGAATCATTGATTTCCCATTATTCACCTTTTGCCCAGTCCAATCACAAAATTTATTAACCAATCTTTTGATCTTCTTCACCATTTTCAGCTTAGCCTCCAAAAAAATTATGATATTATCAGCATAAAGTAAATGTGAAATTTTTGGACCATTAGGAGAAATCTGAATACCAATGGAGTCATTCATCTGGAACATATTAGACATGAGTTGAGAGCAAAGAATGAATAGGTAAGGTGATAGTGGACACCCCTGCCGAAATCCACTACAAGCTCTTATCCAAGGAGACCGATTTCCATTGATTAACAAGGAGAAATTAGGATATCTAACACACTCCATTAAAAGCTTACAGAAATTATCAGAAAATCTGAAATAATATAAGACTTTGTTCAAAGCCTGCCACCCCATGGAATCATATGCTTGTTCCATGTCAATTTTGAAAGAATATAGGCCATTGTTAGACTTGGAATACCTGAACTTGTGGAAAATCTCCTGAGCCAATAGAACGTGGTCATTAAGAGACCTCCCTGATACAAATGCAGCTTGCTCTCTAGAAATAAGTTTTGGAATGATGCCTGCCATTCTATTAAACAAAACTTTTGCTGCAATTTTATAAAGAGTATTACACAAACTAATTGGTCTGTAGTTTGAAGGTGTAATGGGATTAATCACTTTTGGGATTAAAACTATGAAAGTTTCCTTCCAGCTCTCACACATAACCGCAGTTATGAAGAATTGTTGCAGTGCATTCCATAGCTCAACTTTAATAATACTCCAATAACCTTTAATAAAAGAATAGGTTATGCCATCCATACCTAGAGCAATGAAACCTCCTAAAGACTTGATAGAATTTTCAACTTCCAACAAAGTGAAATCATTGTTTAACCAATTTCTATCTTCTTCATCCAAGCAACTAGTAGTGTATGGCCAGCCGTCCAGGTTGCAGTTTCTCTGTTGCCATTTCCCTTTGAAAAATTCCATCAGAACTTCTTCAATTTGATCATGATCCTCTTCCATTTTTCCATCAACACCTCTTATGCTATTGATGAAATTAGTATTTCTTCTATCACTAGCATAAGAATGAAAGAAGTTTGAGTTGCAATCTCCCTTTATCCACCATTTGATCTTTGCTCGTTGCTTCCACCATGTAGTTAAACGAGCTAGAGTAGAATTTAGCTCATTGATTTTGGATTTAAGCAACCAAAGTTCATCCACCGAGAGAAAGCCTTGTTCACCTTCTTTAAGTTGGATATCCCAAATTTCTTTTTTAAGAGCTTCCTTTTGCTGATTCAACGTTTTCATCTTCTGTCTACTCTAAAAAAACAGAGATTTAATGGCCCTTTTTAACTTCAGATTCAGAATTTGTGCATGACTTCCAAATTCTTTCTTACTCCAAGCTTCCCTCACAACTTTGGTAGATGCTGGGTATGAAGCCCATATATCTTCAAATTTAATAGTTCTTTTGGCCTTTGGACAAGGTTGAAAAAGATTTACCATAATTGGAGAATGATCAGAAGCAACTCTAGAAAAATGCCTTACAACCAAATGTTGAGATAACCCAAGAGCCATAGAATTTACAAAGCACCTATCCAACCTTTCAAGGATACGGTCTCCAACATTTTTGTTATTACACCAAGTGTACTTTGGTCCCACAAAGCCAATTTCATGCAAATAATTACAAGAAAGGAAGGATTTCATTTCTTTGGAACCTAAAGAAAAAAATAAAATCTTCTTCCACCCTTTTTGTCATCCTTTGAAAGCAAAAAATTGAAGTCGCCTCCCATCAACAAAGGCATATCAGTTTTTGTATGAATCTCTAATCTCTCCCATAGCAACCTTCTTTTATAAAGATCTTGTGCTTCCATAAACTGTAGCAATCTTCCATTTACCTTTGTTGAGAATCTCCAACTCACCAAAAATGAATTGAGAAGAATAATCCTTAACTTTGAACGAAGCAATGCTGCTCTTCCAAACTACCACAATACCACCTGATAAGCCCTCTGATGGGACATGAAAATAATCCCATCTGGATCCAATTAAGGACTCAATGTCCTTAATGTTTATAGAAGATAATTTTGATTCAAGCAATCCCACAAAAACAGCCTCAAAATCTTTAACAACCTCCTTTAAATAAAGAGATGCTTTCCTCTTTCTAGTTCCTCTACAATTCAAAAAAATTATTGAAGTCATTGATGAATAAGAGGGGATGATTTCCCCACTTTTTCCTTAATTTCATTTTCTGCTCTCCTGTTTCTTGAAATCAAATTAATAGGACCAAGTCCCTTTAATTGCTTCGCAACTTTTTTCTTACTTATAGAAGAATTCCCTCCAATAGAATCCCTTTTCCCCGAACCAGTATCCAGATGGATCACTTTATCAAATTCACCAAGATCTACCTTATTACTGCAACTAATAAGTGTTGTATCAATCTCACCAATTTCTCGATCCTTCCTCCATTAATGAGTTAAGAGCTTCAAACTTGTTTTTAGAGTTTAATGAAACATTAGTTTTTGGAACCAAACCTTGTTCTGGGACTATTTGCATGTTCTCCATGTTCTGATTTTCTCGAGCATTCGTGGTATTCAAATCATCAGCCGTTGTGTTGATCAAATTTTCTGAATCTTCATTAGAATGGGCAGAACAAGATTCCAGATTTTCCCCTTGCTTGACTCCGACAGTAGTTTTGGCATTCTGTTGTATGGTATTCATCTCAGCAACATTCCCAGTTTTAATGCCAGCAGTAGCATTAAAAACCGGCTTAATCTTAAAACTTGTTTGCTTTGGCCCTGTATTTTTAAAACTTTTCTTTCCATATTTGACATGGACCCAAGGTCCATATTTATCCTCATCCAGAATTCCAGCTTTTGCTTCTTTTTCAACACTAACAGAAGATTTTTCCAGTGCTTGATTAGCTTTTTGAACCGGGCATTGAGTAGAAAGAAAACCATTCCCCAGACAATCTTCTTGAAAATGTCCTAACTTCCACACTTAAAGCAAAATGTAGGAAGCTTTTCATACTCAATGTTTTGATAGAACTTGCCAAAACTTCCTTCCACCCATACTCCAAGAGGATGTTTTTCATCAAGCTTTATACGAACACAAATTCTTGCGAACTCTCTCCTACTCCACTGGAACATGTTTCCATCAATAAGGTAGGGAGATCCGACCATGGATACAATTCTACAAACATTAACTTCGTCCCAACAATGAAGAGGGAGATTTGGCATTTGAATCCATATGGGAGCCGTAAGGCCTTTGAATGAAGAAGGATTGGATGATGGTGACCATTTGTCCATCCCAACAATGTTACCATTGACATACCAAGGTCCTGAGGTTAAAACTTTCTCCAACGGTTCAGGTTCTTCAAATGCACAAAGAACCCAACCTAAACCGAGTAAGGTTAAATGAAACTTCCAAAAAATGCTCCACTGTCTTCTTAGTTCAATACTGATAATATGAAATGGGATGTTATCCCCAAAAACTTTAATAACCATAGCCTTCTTAAGCTTATTGGAATTCTCCAATTCCTTGTCAATATTGAGTTTGACAACCGAACCATCAGTAATGAAATCTTCTCCAAGCTTTAAGTCAGATACCAGAATATTATATTTCTTCCTCCAGGCATTCCCAACCGTCTTACTCATCTCCGACACTTCCAAGCAACTTTTCTGTTGAATAAAATTTTCCATATTGCTTTCAGAAATAGAATTGCTTTCAAGAAATCCATTACCCTCTGCCTTGCTTGGTTGGATTTTAGAGTTTTCTAATATTTTACTACATTTACCCAGATCAGCTGATATACATTCTCGGACCTTTTCTGAATTACCTTCAAATCTTCGCACTTCCATCCTTCCTTCATTGATCATATCAACAATCCTTCCGTCCAAAGCCATGTCTGGATGAACAGAATCAGTAACAACGGGAATCGACGCCAAATTCAAGTTGAATTTTGAAACATTTGAATCAGGATCCACAGATTGGTAACCAATTTTTGTATCTTTCATCAAAACAGAAATCTTGGGCGATTCATCTGGGGTTTCCATAAGAACGTTCTTTCCTTTTCCAGAATAATCTAGTATTTTCTTTGGTTGAATAAAACCTCCTTCATTGATTATCAAAGCACCAGAA